GGAAAGGGGCATGATCATAGGCGCCCACCGATTTGGTCATTCCATACGTGCCATCTCCGACAAGTTTCAGGTACCACAGTCAACAGTTGGTGACGTCGTGTTGAAATGGGAACGAGAGGGAGTGATAAAACCGCAGTCCCGACCCGGCAAGCCCAAAATAATGTCCGACAGGGATCGACGATCTCTTCGACGTGTAGTGAAGGCAAACCGACAAATGTCGTTGGACACTGTCGCTACCAACTTCCGGGCTGCATCTGGCAGTGTTGCCAGTGCACGTACCATTCGTCGGGAGCTGATTGCACAAGGATTCCATGGACGAGCAGCAGCACATAAGCCAAACATCTCTCCATCAAACGCCAGCCACCGATTTCAGTGGTGCAGAGCACGTCGCCAGTGGACAGTAGAGCAATGGAAAAGCGTTATGTGGAGTGATGAGTCACGCTACATGTTGTGGCACTCTGATGGCCGAGTGTGGATTTGGCGAATGCCCGGAAAATGGTACCTACCCGAATGCATTGTCCCCATTGTGAAGTTTGGCGGTGGAGGAATTATGGTTTGGTCCTTTTTCTCATGGTTTGGCCTTGGAGCCTTGGTGTTAGTGCGTGGAACCCTGAACGCAGAAGGGTATAGAGACATCCTGGACAATTCAGCGCTTCCCACCCTGTTGCAACAGTTCGGTAATGGCCCGTTTGTGCTTCAACACGATAACGCTGCCATTCATAAAGCACATGCCATCACGGACTGGTTTGATGAAATGGAGGTGCAAGAGCTTGACTGGCTATCCCAAAGTCCTGACATCAATCCAATTGAGCATCTCTGGGATGAGTTGGAGCGCCGGTTGAGGGCCAGACCACAATGCCCCAAAACCACCACTCAAATCTTCGCCATGTTACAGGAGGAATGGCGGGCAATACCTGCCGCCGTGTACCAACACCTAGTGGATAGCCTTCCTAGAAGGGTTAAAGCTGTGATTTGGGCGCGTGGCGGCCCTACGCCCTACTGACTTGATACTAGCACCTCATGTATCCGAAATGAGGGGTGTCCGGTCATTAATGGCCAGATAGTGTAGGTAAACATTTAACATTCAGTCATTGGCAAGCGTCTTTTATCCAGCCATTGTTTAGACAACTATCATTCAGTCATTGGCATATATCTCTTATCATTGCATTGGCTAATATATCTCCTGGCGTTGGCAAATATTTGCACTCTCGGCACTTGCAAATACATTTTATCCAGTTCTTGACGAACACATCTTTTTCAGTCATTAATTATTAAATATTTCTCATTCAACCACTAGCAAACATTACCCAGCCATTGGCATTCCAGTTTTTCAGTTGGTTTTTCAACCATTTGTAAGCCCAGTCATTAACATCAATCCAGAATTGGAATCGTTTATCCTGATTTTGGTCCAGCAGTGAACTGATTGTAAGGTACGATTCCCAGTAGAACACGGAATTCAAGCATCCCTAACTAAGGTCAGTAAGAGCGTGGGTGACCACTTTGATCAGGTTTGTTGAGAGTAAATTAGATTGAATGTCACGTAGAAAAAACTGAAAACTTAACTTTTATTTACATCAAAAAGAATATAAAAACAAGAAAGATGTTGCCAGCACAGGAAACTTAAACTATCTAACTAATCTCGAACTCAACCTCAACATCCTCCCCACCCTGGTAGACCTCGAGGGGGATGACCAGAGCTACCGGACGGGTTATATTAAGACCATTAACAATCAGCTCACAGGATCTAATTTTTCCATCTCGTCCTTCATGCAAGTTCACCACTCTAGCTTTCTTCCATATGTGCCGTGGTCGGACATCCTCTTGTAGGAGTACAATATCACCAATTCGGATGTTAATGATATTGTCCTGATTACGAACTTGATGAAATGACCGCAATTGAAGCAAATATTCATTGGACCATTTTTTCCAAAAGTAGTCGAGTAAGTCTTGCTGCTTCTTGTAGATCTTTCTTTGCTTTGTGTTATTATTTGGGCTGGATGGAATGGCCGTTAGTTTTCGTCCTGTCAAGAAATGGCTTGGTGTTAAGGCTGTGGAACTGTTATCTTCTCCATCTTCGTATATTAATGGTCGGCTGTTCAGAGCGGCTTCTATTCCAATGAGGGCCGTGGACAGACCTTCCTCGTCAAGAAGTGCTCGTCCGAGTACCTTTCGTAGACATCGCTTGACAATTCCTATCAGGCTTTTCCACCAGCCTCCCCACCAAGTCGCTCGTGGGGCGATAAATTTCCAAGTTATGCCATTTTGGGCATAATATTGTTGAATATTAGCCGATGACAGAGCTCTTGCCATAACAGAATCAAGTCCTTATTTGCTGCATGAAAAGTGGTAGCATTGTCGGTATAGATTGTGTGTGGGAGTCCTCTGCGGCCAACAAAACGTTGTAGTGCCAAAAGAAATTTGTCTGTGGTAATATCCGACACAAGTTTAATGTGTAATGCACGTGTTGTTGCACAAGTAAATAGTGTTATGTAGGCTGTGTCTCTTGATTTCAAACATCGAATGTTCACAGGTCTAGCAAAATCAATTCCTGTGGTAGTAAATGGAGCAGAAGGTACAATACTCTTTCAGGAGGTAAAGAAGCTTCGATTTGTTTTCCGTATTTTGCTTTGGACAGCTTGCAAGGCAAGCATTTGTGAATAACTTGCTTTATAGCTTGACGTCCTCTTAAAATCCAGAAGGTTGAACGTAACTCGGACAGGATTATACGCACACCTAAATGGTGAAGTCGTATGTGGGTATGCTGGATCAATAGGTGGACAAAATAGTGTTTACCATCGAGCAATAAAGGGTGTCGAGTATCAGATGAAATGTTTGAAAATTGTAGCCTTCCTCCAAGGCGCAAATAATTATCTTCGAGAAAGGGATTGAAACAGGAAATTTTGGATTTTTTCGGCAGGGGACGTTCAGCTTTTAAGGTATTTATTTCAGCTGAGAAACATTGATTCTGTACAGTTTGTATCCAATAGTTTTTAGCTTTCTCTATTTCATTACAATTCAGTTCATGAGTTATGTGTTGCTGACTCTTACAGTTGTATACAAAACGTAGAATCCAGGCAGTCACATGAAGAAGTTTCGTGTAAGAACTATATCGAGATATTTCTATGATGGTTTCTGCAGTTGCAACGTAGGAGGATTGAAATTTGGTTTTTCGTGATTCAGCTTCAACTAAAGAGTGTGTACGTGTAGACAAAACTTTGATAGGCCAAGTTTCTGGATCATGTTTTAGCCATTTAGGGCCGTGCCACCAAGATTCTAAAATCGATAACTGTGATGGAAAGGTACCACGAGTAAGATGATCCGCAGGGTTATCTGTACCGGGACAGTGGCGCCATTGTGCTGAAGTAGTGTTTTGAAGGATTTCTGTTGTTCTGTTGCAGACAAATGTTTTCCACTGGTTAGGATTTCCCTTTATCCAACTTAAAGCTACAGTAGAATCGCTCCATAGTATGGCAGTGTGGGAATTCATGTTCGTTTCCCTGCAAAAGTATCGGAGTAGGCGAGCTCCTAGTAGTGCAGCTAACAATTCAAGTCTCGGAAGGGTGACCCTTTTGATTGGGGCTAGTTTATTTCGACTGCAAATGAGATGGATCTCTGTAGAAATATCATCTGCGTGACGAGCGTATAAGCAAGCACCATATGCACGTTCCGAAGCGTCGCAAAACACATGTATGGTAGCGTCGGAATTTTCCGAAAAGCCAATCCATCTTGAGATGCATATTTCATTCAGATAGTGTAATTCATTTATCCACTTGTGCCACTGCTGTGCTACAGATGGAGGTAATAGTTCATCCCACTGAATACCACTAAACCATGTATCTTGAAACAATATCTTCACAACAACTATAACTAGAGCAAACAGGCCTAGAGGATCGTAAAACTTTGACATCAGCTTCAGTAGTAAGCGTTTTGTTACTGGTTCTTTGCATGCTTGAACAATTTTTGTCAGCACATCAATTTGAAAAACATCACTGTTAGTATCCCATTTAACACCCAAGACCTGCGTAATATCCTTAAACGAGACGTTTTCTTGTTTCCACATATCTTTCAAAATCTTAGAATTTGTAGTCCATTTGTCTAATGGTAGGCTAATAAGTGATGTAAGTTGCTGCAGTTCTTGGTAAAGAATCAGAGCTCCAGTATCCGTAGATGTTCTCGTTACAAAATCATCCACATAGATGTTATTCTCAACGTGTCTAGTTGCTGTAGGATATGCTTGTTTGTGTTTTGTAGCCAATTCACGAAGAGAAGCTGCTAATAAAAATGGACTAGAGACGAGTCCAAATGGAAGACGTGCGAATCGGTAAGTTACAATGTTATCTTCAGTGCAGAGTTTCCCATCAGGAGTATATGTAGTATTGTACCAAATAAATCGTGTTGCATCTCTGTCTTCTTCTGCTAGAATCAGCTGCAGAAATGCTTGTCGCCCATCACTAGTGATTGCTATTTTAGAAAGTCGAAATCTCAACAATGTGGCTAAGATATCAGGAAGAAGATTTGGTCCTACTTCAAGAGCGTCGTTCAAAGATGGGTGACCTGGAGAATGCGAAGATGCATCAAAAACTATACGCCACTTAGTTTCTCCATTTGTGATTTTCTTTACAGCGTGATGGGGCAAGTAAAATAAGCGTTCCTCATTATGTGTTTTTGAGACAACTTCAACGTGTTTTTTATCAATGTAATCTTGCATGTGCTCAATATATTTTACTTTGAATTCTGAATTTGCACGCAGTTTCCTTGTTAAAGATTTAAAACGCTGAATTGCGACCCCATAATTGTTCGACGAAAGTTGAACTTCTGGTTTCCAAGGCAATTTTACAACTCTTCTACCATCGATGATTTCAAAAGATTGATGAAAGTTCGTCAAGAGTTCTGAGTTGTGAGGACTTATTTTTTCTTGTGTTGGTTGTATGCCAATGCTCTCTAAGTTCCAGAAATTTCGTACCACATTGTCTAATTCCTGAGTTGAAGTATACACATCAACATTATGAACCGTTGAAATGAAGGAAACTGTCGCGTGTGATCGAGTTCCACTAAGTACCCAACCAAAACTTGATGGGACCAATGCCAGGGACTCCGACAACCTGACTGGAGCTTCAGAATTCATAACAATCCAGTAGAAATCTGCACCGATTAAAATCTCAATTGACAAATTCGACAATGAATCATCTGGATCAGCAAGTTTCATTCGCTTGTTTTTAGCAAGGAGTGAAACATCCGTTGATGAAGGTAGGTGTGATGCATATTTGTTGGAGCTTTCAAATGCAGTAACATTAACTTTAGATTCGTCCCAGATACTTGATAACTGAAATTTGACTTGCCTTCGCATATGGCCAACATTAGCTGGGGATTCAAAGGCTTGAATGTCCAAATGGCTGGCTGAAATTACTGGAAGTTTTAAAGTATCCACAAGTTTAGAAGAAACGAAACTAGATTGACTTCCACCATCCAAAAAACAACGTGCCAGTTTTGTAATGCCATTAGGCCCAGTTATGAAAACTCGTGCAGTTTGCAAATGAGCGAAACTGGAAGACGATATCTCAATTTTGTTTGTAGATGTAGCCACAGGCTGCTCATTGGTTAGAGGTTTGCATATTGATGTATGGTGTTTTCTCCTGCATTTGGAACAGCTAAATTTATCTCTACGGGGGCAATTTTTTGTGGTATGTCCTCGGTTAGTGCACAAAAAACATCTATTACTAGTCTTCAATTTCTGTATGAGCACGTCTATGTCCGTTACAACATTGCACTGTTGAGGCCAATGTCCGACAGTTTCACAGAAAGGACAAAAGGGTGACATTATTTTACTTTTGGTAACTGATTTAGAATTCACATTAAAATTTTCTAAGGAGGATTTAATTGGATAGTCTGGAGCTAGTGAACCTTTAATATTACTTGCAGTAATTGCTCCCTCGACCTCTTCGGATAAAAATTTCACTAATTTTGAAATATCGCTTTCAGTAAAATTTTCACGTTTGGCATGTACAATCCAATTTCAACAGATTTCATGCGGAAAAGCACGAAGTATTTTAGGAGCCAAAATTCTTCCGTATGATTGAGTTTTTTCCCCTAACGCATCTAAAGCCTGTATCCTTCAATTACAATCAATATATAACTCATTTATTGCTGCTGGAGAGTGACTTTTGACAGGTTTTAGGTTTTCTAAATAATCCAGATGAGCCTGTATTATTTTATCTTTATCGCCATATTTCGATTTCAAAATATCCTTTGTTGTGGCATATGTTTCTGCAGTTATATTAATTCCATCAACTATACGTTTTGCTTCTCCATCTAAATATCCCAGCAAAAAAACATGCTTGTCAATCAGCGATCGTTTTTGTCGATACAGTTTTCAAAACGCTCCCAAAAACTATGGAATTCTTCAATTTCGCCGTAAAACGTATTTATTTTTATTGTAGGCAACTTTACTGTAACATTTGAAGGCGAAGCCGAGAAATTATTTATATTGGCAGCTGTTGGCGATGTTTCAGAAATTGAATTCGTGTCCCGATTCGCTGTTCTTTTGAAATTAAATAACGCCAAATGAGCATATTCTGTGTATCTTTCGCATTCTATTATGTCTTCCTGATATTCTTCATCATTTAAAAAATTATGTACTTCATCATCAGCCAAGGTCAATTCTTTAATTTTATCTTGTAAACGTTCAATGTTGTATTCCTTTTCAGTTTGTGTACTAGCAGCATCGTTTAATTTCGTCGTTAGTTTCGTAATGGCGATACGTAGCGTTGTTCGTTTGCGTTTAAATATTACAAGTTTTTCACTACCGGTAGCCATTCCAATTCAGATTTTTGACGAAAGTAATTATAAAAGGTTCAGTATGACTTACCGAGTTATTTCGGCACCAAATGTTGGATTTTGTTGAGAGCAAATCAGACTGAAAGTCACGTAGAACAAACTGAAAACTTAACTTTTANTATGCTTGTTTGTGTTTTGTAGCCAATTCACGAAGAGAAGCTGCTAATAAAAATGGACTAGAGACGAGTCCAAATGGAAGACGTGTGAATCGATAGGTTACAATTTTATCTTCAGTGCAGAGTTTCCCATCAGGAGTATATGTAGTATTGTACCAAATAAATCGTGTTGCATCTCTGTCTTCTTCTGCTAGAATCAGCTGCAGAAATGCTTGTCGCCCATCACTAGTGATTGCTATTTTAGAAAGTCGAAATCTCAACAATGTGGCTAAGATATCGGGAAGAAGATTTGGTCCTACTTCAAGAGCGTCGTTCAAAGATGGGTGACCTGGAGAATGTGAAGATGCATCAAAAACTATACGCCACTTAGTTTCTCCATTTGTGATTTTCTTTACAGCGTGATGGGGCAAGTAATATAAACCTTCCTCATTATGTGTTTCTGAGACAACTTCAACGTGTTTTTTATCAATGTAATCTTGCATGTGCTCAATATATTTTTCTTTGAATTCTGAATTTGCATGCATTTTCCTTGTTAAAGATTTAAATCGTTGAATTGCGACTTCATAATTGTTCGACGAAAGTTGAACTTCTGGTTTCCAAGGCAATTTTACAACTCTTCTACCATCGATGATTTCAAAAGATTGATGAAAGTTCGTTAAGAGTTCAGAGTTGTGAGGACTTATTTTTTCTTGTGTTGGTTGTATGCCAATGCTCTCTAAGTTCCAGAAATTTCGTACCACATTGTCTAATTCCTGAGTTGAAGTATCCACATCAACATTATGAACCGTTGAAATGAAGGAAACTGTTGCGTGTGATCGAGTTCCACTAAGTACCCAACCAAAACTTGATGGGACCAAGGCCAGAGAATCCGACAACCTGACTGGAGCTTCAGAATTCATAACAATCCAGTAGTAATCTGCACCGATTAAAATCTCAATTGGTAAGTTCGACAATGAATCATCTGGATCAGCAAGTTTCATTCGCTTGTTTTTAGCAAAGAGTGAAACATCCGTTGATGAAGGTAGGTGTGATGCATATTTGTTGGAGCTTTCAAATGCAGTAACATTAACTTTAGATTTGTCCCAGATACTTGATAACTGAAATTTGACTTGTCTTCGCATGTAGCCAACATTAGCTGGGGATTCAAAGGCTTGAATGTCCAAATGTCTGGTTGAAATTACTGGAAGTTTTAAAGTATCCACAAGATTAGAAGAAACGAAACTAGATTGACTTCCACCATCCAAAAGACAACGTGTCAGTTTTGTAATGCCAGTGGGCCCAGTTATGAAAACTCGTGCAGTTTGCAAATGAACGAAACTGGAAGGCGATACATCAATTTTGTTTGTAGATGTAGCCACAGGCTGCTCATTGGTTAGAGGTTTGCATATTGATGTATGGTGTTTTCTCTTGCATTTGGAACGGAAAAATTTTTCTCTACGGGTGCAATTTTTTTTGGTATGTCCTCGGTTAGTGCACAAAAAACATCTATTAATAGTCTTCAATTTCTGTATGCGCACGTCTATGTCCAATACAACATTGCACTGTTGAGGTTAATGTCCGACAGTTTCACAGAAGGGACAAAAGGGTGACATTATTTTACTTTTGGTAACTGATTTAGAATTCACATTAAAATTTTCTAAGGAAGATTTAATAGGATAGTCTGGAGCTAGTGAACATTTAATATTACTTACAGTAATTGATCCCTCGACCTCTTCTGATAAAAATTTCATTAATTTTGAAATATCGCTTTCAGCAAAATTTTCACGTTTGGCATGTACAATCCAATTACGACAGATTTCATGAGGAAAAGCACGAAGTATTTTAGGAGCCAAAATTCTTCCGTATGCTTGAGTTTTTTCTCCTAAAGCATCTAAAGCCTGTATTCTTCGATTACAATCAATATATAACTCATTTATTGCTGCTGGAGACTGATTTTTGACAGGTTTTAGGTTTTCTAAATAATCGAGATGAGCCTGTATTATTTTATCTTTATCGCCATATTTCGATTTCAAAATATCCTTTGCTGTTGCATATGTTTCTACAGTTATATTAATTCCATCAACAATTCGTTTTGCTTCTCCATCTAAATATCCCCGCAAAAAAACATGCTTGTCAATCAGCGATAAACTTTCGTTTTTGTCGATACAGTTTTCAAAACGCTCCCAAAAACTATGGAATTCTTCAATTTCGCCGCCGTTAAACGTATTTATTTTTATTGTAGGCAACTTTACTATAACATTTGAAGGCGAAGCTGAAAAATTATTTATATTGGCAGCTGTTGGCAATGTTTCAGAAATTAAATTCGTATTCCGATTCGCTGTTCTTTTGAAATTAAATAACGCCAAATGAGCATATTCTGTGTATCTTTCGCATTCTATTATGTCTTCCTGATATTCTTCATTATTTAAAAAATAATGTATTTCATCGTCTGCCAAGGTTAATTCTTTAATTTTATATTGTAAACGTTCAATATTGTATTCCTTTTCAGTTTGTGTACTAGCAGCATCGTTCAATTTCTTCGTTAGTTTCGTAATGGTGGTACGTAGCGTTGTTCGTTTGCGTTTAAATATTACAAGTTTTTCACTACCAGTTGCCATTCCAATTCAGATTTATGACGAAAGTAATTAAAACAAGTTCAGTATGACTTACCGAGTTATTTCGACTCTGTTGAGAGTAAATTAGACTAAAAGTCACATAGAACAAACTGAAAACTTAACTTTTATTTACATCAAAATGAATATAAAAAACAAGAAGATGTTGCCAGCACAGAAAACTCAAACTATCTAACTAATCTCGAACTCAAACCTCAANCATTCCAATTCAGATTTATGACGAAAGTAATTAAAACAAGTTCAGTATGACTTACTAAGTTATTTCGGCACCATATGTTGGACTCTGTTGAGAGTAAATTAGACTGAAAGTCACATAGAACAAACTGAAAACTTAACTTTTATTTACATCAAAATGAATGTAAAAAACAAGAAGATGTTGCCAGCACAGAAAACTCAAACTATCTAACTAATCTCGAACTCAAACCTCAACAATTTTGTTAGCCCACATCTTAGCAGCGAAGTCAAGCATCACTGGCTGCGGTCAGTGTGCGGGTGGGTGACCACTTGGATCAGTCAGCGTAGGGACTGAGGGTGTGAGGTATGGGTCCTCGTTAAACTGTTCTACCGAAGTGAGGGTGCCATCCCCTCTGCAAAGGATCAAAATTGGGATGGAATGTCTTCGGATCATCCTCGGGGATGCTTAACAGACCGTCGCCAATAGCCCATTATGCAGCTCTAGTGTGACGTAAATGAACTACAACAACATTCACATGACGTCATTATTATTTAATAATAATTCTTCTATCAATATTTTAAATATTTCTTTCAGAAAATTAAACTACAATAAAAAATCTAAAATCTAAAAGAAAGATACAAAAAAATTCATGGTTTTTACAAATTTAAGAAATGTTCCTACTTACTATGGTTTGATCCTTCTATTTTAAATGCTCCTATCAAATTCTGAATTTCTAAATGCGTATTTTACATGAATTTTTATTTTGATGAAAAGGGGACAAAAAATTTTGTCGGTGCAGTGTTAGGAATTATTTTGTACTCTACTGAGCATTTTAATTTCAAAACATTTGAATTCTTCACAAAATCGTTCAAACATAACAAAAAGACAAGAAAAGAATTTATCCACTCTTCTGTTATGAAAATCGATGAAACTTTTCAGTTTTTTTCTTTCTTTTTTTTCTTCTTCCGAATGGCACCATCTCAACAATTTGGAGCGGTCTCCAAGAGCTCTGTGTCAGGGAACTGACCCATTCTATCCTAACGGGTATCTGAAAGAATGTTAACTACAATATTTATCTCAACTGAACTACAACAGAGTAAGGCTTAGCCTCAAAAATTGATAATAATACAATTCCGAACACAAACGTTACTAAGCGCTGAATGCAAGGAAATCAAAAGATGCCACCTAGCAAGTCTAACGTCAAAGTAAAAGGGATATTAAAAAAATTATTCGGCAATAAGTTCACAAGGGATACGGGACTCTCATTTATTTAAAAAGTAAGCCCACCTTGAGAAGAAAAGCTTTAAAAAATCAATGTTTAAAAGCAAATAAATAATGTACCGCAATTTACATGACTCTCTTTCGCGTCTGTGCTGTGATGAGATGAAATTGCATTCAAAATTTCGACCATTTTCCTTTATATTTTCGACCACTTCCTGTTAAAAATCGTAATAATTCTGTAACTTTCTGAAAGAAAATTTATATTCTCTGAAACTATAGAAAAAAAGAAAAGAGATTTTTTCTGATAACAAATAAAATCTGTACCCTATGATACAGATGGTTGCCAAGAAGCTCCCAGATTCGAATCCCGCATCGGAACGTCTGATCTTAACGATAGAAAAAAATATGAATTCTACGATGATTCTTTTCAAACGTGATTTCAGCTGAAAAATCGCGCAAAAAAGAAATAGTTAATCTAAACTATTACACCCATCGAAATTAGTCGGAAAAACAGATGGAACATTTATTAAAATTCTTAAAAACTCTCTATTTTGTATAATAAATATTTTGCAATTATTGCCCCTTCTTTTGTTTACAGAAACGATTGAAATGTCAAAAATACACATTAATTGTAACATATGAAAAAGTGTTACAACAATTTGTTAATGTAGTAGATGAGATTTGAAACTTTCAGAATTACAAAAAGACTCCAAGTAAGTTGCTATTGCTTAAATCTTAAAGTTTAAAGCAATATTATTTTTATTAAGTTCAACTTAAATGTCATTTTGTGAAAAATGGAGTAAAATTCAAATTTAGAATCAAACCCAAGTAACACGAATATTGGAAATTTTTCAAAAAATTATTCATTCCAGCATCTTTTTCGGTCCATTATACCTTATTAGAATTTTCATTCTAAAATTACAGTCAATTAACCGTACTTATCCATTGAATGAACCATAAAGTTTACTGTAAAGAACATTTTTTACCTTTACGGTTTTGAAATCGTTGACAACTAGTATGCTTAAAAAACCATGAATACAAAACTGTACGGTTTTTTAACGATTTACAATTATCAGGGTTACAAAACCGCAGAAAGGAAATTTAACTGCACATTGGAGCTAGACTTTTCGTTTGGTTATGGGCATTTGAGTTAAGTTGTGGTTGAGTAGTGTTTTATCAAATGAACCGTGGGATGTGGTTTAATTAGTTTATCTGATTGTTCACCTATCCTAAGATACTTAAAATACTAGACTTTTTTTGTGTTAAGCAGCTTTATAGTGCTGTCATCTATGCGTAAATGAGATTACCGCATTCTAATAGTCCAGGGTCACAAATTGGAGACAAAGGAAACTTTTCTTGAGTTGATGGGAATGGAGAAAATATTGTGGTTTCAACGCTAGGACTCGAACCAGCGTTCTGCGTCGGTCATCAGGTTGACAGATTAGCTCTCTCGGTTATAATATGAGCCCAGTTGTAAGGAACTAAGTGACTTCATTAGATGAGCCTAGTTGGAACGATAAAATTCAGGTTGTTTAACCTTATTAGGTAAAAGCCGTTAATAAACCATTTTTCTCACTGTTAATAGGTTGAATACCATCTTATTTATGATTATTCAAGAGTTTTGTTGAATATAGTAAAAAGAGAACACAAATAAAATTGTTATTTAGCTATTTTTTCGGAGAAATTTCCGTCCGCGTATAGCGCCAATAGTCAGACATTTTTGAAATATCGTATAAAAGTCGTGAAGTAATATTCAAAGGAAATCTTCTATAATATTCTTGTAATATTGGAAAAATTTCCAAGATAATATTGCCCAACTTCTTTTGAAAATATTATATAGCGCATATAAAATCAAACATCTTAAAATATCACGCGAATTTCATTTTAATGCCTCTATCACACGAGAGAAAAATAAGTGCAACCGTAAGTGTAACTGCAAGTGTAAGTGAAACTCTAAGCGCAATTCCTCCGTTCGGAGTTGCCGAAAGGGTTGCTTAATTGCCTGAACGGTTGCATGTAATTGGGTTGCCATATTTTGTTATTTATCTTTACTTTTGGCTCATATTTAATTTTATCATATAATTCTATTATATCATAGTTTCTCAACGATGTTCGTAAAGATGCTGTAGAATATTGATTGATTTTGATTTANTTTTCCTCATCGGAATTGTCTACAAAGGGTATTATATTAAATAACCCTTTTGTTCATTAAGAAAATTCTTATAAAAATCATAGATTGTTAAGCCAAAAGTTTTTTGAGTGCGCATACATTAGAACAAAAGCTTTCAACAGCACAGCGTCAGACTTCAAGAATTTAACGATATTATTAAAGAGTCCAAATGTTTTTGTTTTTTTTTAACAATATTTTCTCTTTTTCAGTAAACATATGAGTTATGACCTGTTTCAGTTTCAGCTATTTGACACCAAGTATAAGATAATATTCTAAAAACTTCTAAAGTTGCAACAAAAATACTGAAACCACTCAATGAGAACAGAAAATAACACACCATAATCTTCATTGGAATTGTCTACAAGCTTAGGTATTTTATTAAATGTATTTTATTTAAAGTTTCGTCTTTAAATATGTTTTTCTCAATTCACATTTTTTTCTCCATCTGGCACATAAAATCACTCGACTTGTAATAAACCTATGAGTGTAAAACTGGGTAATTGGTTTGAGTATGGTATGTTGCTTAAATTCTATCTAGTACTTAAATATTGGTAAATATTTCATAGTCCAAAATATTTTTTTTTAAAAAATCCGAAAATGAAAGTTTTATTTTAGTTTAAAAAAGGCTTTTTATATTTCGTTTTCTTTGAGCTAGCATGGTTTTAGAAAAAGTTATTAAAAGTTGTTTTAAGTCATTAACCTGAAATTTATGAATTTTATCGTACGTGCGAGACGTCATAGAATAATTTTTTCTTTAAACCTTTAGTTCTAACGAAAATTATATTATAAAAGTTCCTTGCAATATTTCACTAAAGTAATTGCATTTAAAAAAAATGTATGTGCTTATGCTAAACCCCTGCAGAAAAAGGTCAGAATCCTAAGTTAAATTTTTGAACAGAAGTAATAGATAGTCGCAAAAAAATGTACAGTGCACAAAAAAAAACAATTAACCACACTAATTAACTTTTGATTTCATGATCGGATTTTCATGTTCTAGGATTCAATTGTTAAGGTTATAGGGGGTTACCTCAAATATACTAATTAATCAGCTGCAGACGCTGTTTTAAGTTACAAAATCAGCCACAAAAACTTACTTTCTCTAAATAAATATACCTATTTTCGAAGGATTCAAATTACTGACCCTCAAAATATAGGTGGTAATTGCAATCTGAGAAATATGGTTCTAATAGTTGGGTCTAGAGAGTGAACCAAAGTTTGAACCCCTTAATACTAATTTTACTTTTTGCGTATATCGCTACAGCTCGAGAACTTTTTAAGTGAATTGAAACATTTTTTCGCAATATTATTAAATTCGTTTATCCAAAAATAATTCCAAGCAAAAATTTGCTTTTAGTAAATATTTATTATTTTATTTAATAATTGTCGAAAAAATTTTTGAATTGAAAGGGATACAATTTT